TTAGGATGCAAAAATGCGGCGCTAAAGCATGTATTGTCCTTTCGACGTCAGATTTTTATGTTTCTCAGCTCCCAAGATCGATCTTTAGAAGTTTCCTTTAGAGTTAAACATGAAGATAATTCGTACATGGTGTACGCGAGTACGGAGAGTTTGAAATGTTTTGATTGTGGCGATGTCGGACATAAGCGCTTCTCGTGTCCGCATAAAGTGCGTGATGAACCGAGTGCATCTAGAGATGAAGAATCAAATGGGGAATCTCAAGTGATTGAAAGGAATAAACAAGACTCTGTACTGACTGATAGAGTGACGGAGGAGGAGGTGAAGGAACAAGAGAAGGTGAGTGCTGTTGTTTCTAAAAGCGTGAGTAATGATCAGCCTGGGTGCAGTTATGCTGTTGGAAAGCCTGCTAGTGCTTGTGGAGTTACTGATAAGGTGGTGAATGAATGCAGTGTAGAAGATGTGCAACAACACTCTTTAGTAACTCAGGCAAAATGATCAGAAGAGGATACAGGTGAAGAAATGGATGGTTTATCTCAAAGTACTGAAGATGGTGTGAGAGATGAACAGTGGGCTGAGATGGAAAGAGCAAGAGAAAGTGATTTGTACACCGTTGACCAGATTAATAGTTTTCTGGATGAAACTAAAGGGAAAGCAGGAGTAGAAATTGTTGATTTCTTTCCTGATCTTGAGAAATTTGTTTCTTCGGTAGCTTGGGCTCGAAAAATGACTAGTTGCACCGAGCTCTCTCAGCAGAAAAGGTTTCGGCTTAAGAAATATATCACATCTGCTAGGCAAAAATTGAAACTGGTTGGCAAAGAACCACTAACGAGGGGGAACGCTAAAGACTCATAATGGGATACACTTTTTATTTAATTTTTCTTTTCTTTCTTTTTTTCCCCCCTCTCTTTCTGATGGAGATCTTAAGAGCAGGATCACTAAATGTGAATGGGATGAGGGATATGAAAAAAAGTGTATTTCTTTCTGAAATTATTAATTTGAAAGAGTTAAATGTCATTTTTTTGCAAGAAACTCACAGCGATTCAGACAATGAAGTTGATTGGGGGCTATGGTGGAGGGGAGAGCATTTTCTTAGTCATGGGAATAATTTAAGTGCTGGGGTAGCAATTCTTCTTGCCCCTTCTCTCAATTGCAGTATTTTGTGGAAAAATGAATTGGTACCGGGAAGACTTTTGATTGTTAGAGCTGAAATACACAATATGAATTTCATTTTTGTGAATATTTATGCTCCAAATATAGGCATTGAGAGAACAAGGCTCTTTTTTAAACTAGAACAGTTCTTAAGACAACAAGATGATAGAGATTTTGTAGTTTGTGGTGGAGACTGGAACTGCACCTTAGATTTTATAAAAGATAGGACTGGGGAAGAACCACATCAAATGTCAGCTACTTGTCTTGCACGATTAGTAAAGAATTTTCACTTATCAGATGTATGGAGAGAAAGTAATCCATTAGTTACACAGTACTCTTGGGTGAGTTTTACTAATAATATATTTTCTGCTGCTCGTTTAGATCGGTTCTACTTATCTCATAATATGAGGAACAGGCTTTTGAATTCAAACATTACTCCTGTCCCTTTTTCAGATCATAAACTAATCACAGTTGAATGTAGTCTCATAACACAAGCTTATAAAACTTCTTATTGGCATTTCAATGTTAAATTGTTAGAAGACACTATCTTTTGTGAAAACTTTAAGAATTTTTGGGAAGTTTGGAAGACTGAGAAAGGAAAATATGACAACATTATTCAATGGTGGGAGATTGGGAAGGTGTTTATTAAGGATTACTGCCAACAATATTCTTCTCTTTCTGCTTCGTGTTTAAAGAAAACTTTGGAGAGCTTGGAGAAAGAACTTAATATTATTGAAGGGAATATGACTGTAAATGCTTCTCCTAATTTGAAGGATATGTGGTCGGAAAAGAAAAACTGTTTGAATTTAATCCTTGATGAAAAAGTCCAAGGAGAACTTGTAAAAAATCGGTTTCTAACAAAAAGAGACATAGATGCTCCTACGTCCTTCTTTTTTAACTTAGAACGGAAAACTAAGTATGGAAAAAAGATATTGTTTTTAAAAGATAAGGATGGACATCTTGTTTCAGACCCGGAAAGGATGCGTAGACTGGCAGTGGATTTCTATACTGAACTATATTCTGCTGAGTCTTTAAATGAGCAATGTAGACATGAACTTTTACGAGATCTTCCTGAGATATCTACAGAAAAACAACAGCTTTTGGAAGCACAACTTACTTTTAATGAACTGACCTCAGCAGTAATGGATCTCTCATCAGGGAGGGCACCAGGGATTGATGGACTTCCTGCAGAGTTTTATAAACACTTTTGGACTGTTATTGGTCATGATTTTTTTGAAGTTGTGCAGAAATGTGTAAGTGAAGGATGTCTAACAAGAAGTTGTCAGCGTGCTGTCTTAACATTACTTCCAAAAAAGGGAGATTTGACGCTACTAAAAAATTGGAGACCTGTAGCTCTCTTATGTTCAGAGTATAAGATTCTCTCTAAGTGTCTTGCTAAAAGGTTAAATGATGTATTACATGAAATTATTCACACAGACCAATCATATTGTATAAAGGGCAGATCTATTGCAGATAATTTACATCTGATGCGGGATCTGTATGACTATGCTTTTTACAACAATGTTGATATTGGGTTTTTGGCTATGGACCAAGAGAAAGCCTTTGACAGAGTTGACCATCATTTTCTTTTTGAGACTCTTAAGGCTTTTGGATTTGGAGAAAATTTAATTTCATGGATAAAATTACTTTATAATGAGGCAACTCTTAAAAATAGGTGGGGGTCTCAGTGTCCCAATAAAGGTTCAGAGGGGTATAAGGCAAGGTTGCCCTATTTCAGGGCAGCTTTATAGTATTGCTTTTGAGCCATTACTCTGTAAATTAAGAAGAGAATTAACGGGGCTGCAAATCAGAGAAATAGATTCTTCACAGGTGATTAAAATGTCTGCATATGCAGATGATCTTACGGTCATAATAAGAGGTAATCAAGACATTAATGTTCTGAAAAAGTGTTTAGAAACTTATGAAAAAGCCTCTTCTGCGAAAGTTAACTGGGGCAAAAGTGTGGCAGTGTGGTGTGGGCATGACAATAATGGTCCCATCCTTCCTGGAGAGCTGCAGTGGGGAAGGGAAGGTTTTAAATATTTAGGAGTGTTTTTAGGATCTGTAGAGTATAGGAAAAAGAATTGGGAGGGACTAGTGGAGAAAACATGTGTTCGGTTATCTCGATGGAAATGGTTGCTCCTCCGGTTATCCTATAGGGGTAGAGTCTTGGTCTGTAACAATCTCATTGCTGCTACTTTATGGCATAAAATGATGATATTAGAACCTCCAGAAGAACTGATGGTGGACATTCAGAAAAAAATAGTTGATTTCTTTTGGTCTGGGTGTCACTGGCTGAAAGCACCAGTACTTTATTTGTCCAGGACGGAGGGAGGTCAAGGACTTATCGACATCAGATCCAGAATTAAAGCCTTCAGACTCCAGACAGCTAAAAGACTACTGTATGGTAAAGAAGTGAGCTGGTGTGGCGTAGCCCGTGGCCTCCTGAGAAGAGCAGGTGGAATGGGTTATGATCGTCAACTTTTCCTAATGGACATTAACAAGCTGGACTTAACTGGTCTGTCATCGTTCTACAGGTCAATGTTGAGAGCGTGGACTCTTTTAAAAGTCTGCAGAGATCTAAATGGTGAACAGAGCCAGTGGTTACTGGAAGAGCCCTTGATCTTTAACCCAAAAATTGATTTGGATGTTTTAAAATCAACTTCTGTGAGGCATGCTTTATGTTCTGCAAAAATTTTAAAGATTGAACACTTATTGAATGAAGATGGATGGATTTCTGCAGAGACTCTGGCTACCAAGCTTGGCATAAAATCAGTCCGAGTTGTGCAGAGGCTGTTGAACCATCTTTATGAGTGCATGCCAGTGGACTATAGAGACTCTTTATTTTTGCACAAAAAAGAAAATGCAGTTTATTCTTTCCCGGAACTGGATATCACAGCGGCGACTGGATTGTGGCAAGAGAGTCAAGGCGGAATTTTATCCTTCAAGACCCCTCAACTGGGGAGTTTCAGAGAAATCGGGAAAAAAGCTATTTATATGCTCTGTGTAAAAGTTCTTCATCTTCATGCACTTGAAAATGTAAAAGAGACTAAATGGACAGATTTTTTTGGACCAGACTCTTCCCCGAAAGGTTGCTGGAGGACCATGTACAAGCCCCCCATTGAAAAAAGGTCTGGAGATCTACAGTGGCGCGTTGTACATGGTATTATAGCTACAGACAGATACAGAGCACATTTTGATCCACTAGCGGGGGTGGGATGTCCGTTCTGTGAACAGCAGGAGACTGTTTTTCATTTGTTTGCTGACTGTAGTAGATTATTGCCTCTCTTTGAAATTCTTGGAGGCTGGTGTCAAACATTAGGAGAAGATTTCACACTTGAGTTGTATGTCTATGGACCCAAATACAAACGCAGCAAGAGGGAGATCTGTCATCTACTCAATTTTATTTTCGGACAAGCAAAGTTAGCTGTTTGGCTCTCTCGTAAAAATAAAATAGGGGCTATGGGACAAACTGACGTGGTACTGATTTACAAGGGTTTGATGAAGTCAAGGTTGAAAATAGAATTTGAATACTATCATCTGAATGAGAATATTGAAAGATTCAATTTGACATGGGCTATTAATAAGTGTATTTGTGATGTTGACTACAATGGTGATTTACAATTATATGTATAATACTATATGATGATTATGCTTGTAAAAGGTTTATAGGTGGTTGTTATTTATTGTTTTCTTTGTTGGTGAAATAATTGATTGAAGCTTGATTTTAATTTTTTGTAATTAAAGGTGTTTCAAAAGTCTCTCTCTCTCTCTCTCTCTCTCTCTCTCTCTCTCTCTCTCTCTCTCTCTCTCTCTCTCTCTCTCTCTCTCTCTCTCTTCCACATCTCCAGTCTTTGTATGTCCTGGGACTCTATTAAGGGTGCAGGCAGCAAGTTTGCTTCAGGAGGCGGAGCATCAGTCGGGGGCATGGTGTAAGGATCCCCTGCAGTCTGGTGACCGTCTTTACGTCATGCCCTGGACTCCGTACCGCACTGACATGCTGTACGAGTATGCTTCATGGGAAGACTTCAAGCAGAATCGAGCCACAACCTTCTACAAGTGAGTGAGGACAACAGCTTGGGTCTACAACCAATAACCATCCCTGTGTACAGCCAACGCATTCTCATCCTAGGGCGTCATATAGTGACACTTTTGCCGATGCGTATCCATCCAACGCACATGGCACCCTTTAGCGTCAATATAACACACTTCGGTTAGGGTTAGACCACTAGGAGGCGTCTTCTGGCCCATATATATCTGCTTCTCATATTGACGCTAAAGGGTGTCATGTGTGTTGGATGTATACGCATTGTCAGAACGGGCTGGTACAGCCAACAAAATAATTTTTGTTTTTTTAAACCTTACGTTTTTCATGGATGGCCAGTCATCTCAAATAACGCACTCTTCTCCCACAGGCTGCCAAATCGCGTGGATGGAACAGGCTTTGTCGTGTATGATGGTGCTGTTTTTTACAACAAGGAACGTACACGCAATATTGTGAAATACGACTTGCGCACACGTATCAAGAGTGGAGAAGCCATAGTCAATAATGCCAACTACCATGACGTCTCACCATACCGCTGGGGGGGCAAGTCTGATATTGACCTTGCAGTGGATGAAAATGGTCTATGGGTCATCTACGCTACAGAGGCCAACAATGGACGATTGGTGGTCAGTCAGGTCAGTGTCACTGAATAGTCCAATTTAAGATATTGGATTTCAGCTGAGATCAGAACTTCGGTTACATTGTAGCTAGGGATGCACCGATACCACTTTTTTGGAAAACGAGTACGAGTACGAGTACTTGCATTTTAGTACTCGCCGATACCGATACCGAGTACTTAATAAAAAAACAAAAAAAACATGATTGAAATATTTTTATATACGGGTTTTTAGGTCCTTGATTAAATTAGCCTACTTGGGTAACACTTTATTTCGATAGTCCACTTTACTAACTATAAGTAACTTTTCAATTACATGTGTCAACTAACTGTCATTAGAGTATTAGTAGACTAGAGTATTAGTACGATCAGCTTAATATCTGATAACACTTTATTTATTTGGTCCCCCAACAGACATTCAACTGACTATAAGTAACTTGGCGACTACAAGTAAACTTATTCTCCTAATCCAAAGCCATTCACTTTGAAATTGTTCCACACCAGTGATGCACGGGTTGATCCAAAATGAGCGGGTGCCTGCGCCGCGGTCACCCGCGGTTACCCGCAGTTACGGGTCATCCAAAAATATTTTTAATGATATTCGGGTCGCGGTCGGTCAGGTCGTTTGGAAAAAAATGGCAATTAAACCTTTGTATTTATATAGTACTAGATAGAATTTTCTATGAAATATATAGGCCGAATTTATTTATTGGCTGAATAACTGGCACGAAGATGACACACAAGCTCAGTCTAAACAGTTCTCAGTTCTGTACTGGTGTGATCCGAGAACCGCTGTACCTCTGCGTTCGTTACGACAGAACATGTCAACAACATGTCTCAGTTCAGTGAACTGTTAGAGTTACTGGAGTAAAATATAATTCGGGATATTGGTTTATTTCAACTCGGAGGGACTGTCAGGCATGTCTGAAAGTGAGTAACTGTAGTACCTTGTGGATCAGCACTGACGCAAGACGTGAACTGATGCGAATGATTCAGTTCGATTTAGCGTACTGGTTCGACCGGTGCATTAAAAAGAACCGATTCGTTCACGAACCGGCCATGTCTATGATCACTAGTCTGCAGAGAGATGGAGGCGGCAAGAGAAAAGGTGAAGACTGGGGAGTGGAAGCTCCGCAAATAAACAAATAGAAAGAGTAAGTGTGGGAGACATTTACCGAAATAATGAAAGATGATGACCAAAGTGCTGCCTTTGTTATATAGGCTACGTCTTCTTGCGATGCTGTGTTGTTACACGTTATGGCCCAATGACGCTACGATGAGCATGTACTACTTTTAAAAAATACGGTCAGGAAGAGGGTCGGGTACAATATTTTCTTACTTTTTTTGCGGTCCGAGTAGCGGGCGGGTAGTTGAAAACGTTGGTAGTTTGCGGGTTGTTTATACATTGACCCGCGCATCACTGTTCCACACGGCTGACATGTCTCCCCATCTCCCCGCTCCGCTCTGAGCTGCAGCCGGAGCCTGGGGGTGGGCACTCGGCGCCTGTGATTAACCCATTTCTCAGAACATGGTATCGGTCCCCGGTATCGGGGGACTTTTAACGAGTACGAGTACTTTAGAAAATGTGGTATCGAGGCCGATACCAGATACCGGTATCGGTATCGGTGCATCCCTAATTGTAGCTATCTTCCAATTTCCAGAACTGTGGAGTAATCAAATTATTTTGTTGCATCCAACGAACACAATCTGAATCCTTTCCTTTTCACTGTATTCCAGGTTAACCCTTACACCCTACGCTTCGAGGGAACCTGGGAAACCAGCTTCGATAAGCAACTGGCCTCCAACGCCTTCATGGCGTGTGGTGTTTTGTATGCCGTGCGCTCTGTTTATCAGGATGATGACAGTGAAGCGGGTGGAGATCTGGTGCTGTACGCATTCAACACCAATCGAGGCCGGGAAGAGTCCGTCCACATTCCCTTCCCCAACCCCTACCAGTATGTGTCCTCTGTGGACTACAACCCAAGAGACAATCAACTTTACGTCTGGAACAACTACAATGTTGTGCGCTATCCCCTAGACTTCGGGCCACCGGATCCCACTGCTGGTAAGTGACAGAGAAATAGCAAGATCAGCGGGAGGCAGAAGCTAACAGACAGCTTGATCTGTTAAGTGTCAACGTTGTGTTAGTGTTCCCCTCTGAGTCTTCAATACATTGTCTTTATGGTTTAATTAGCTGTGGTCATTAGCATTTTGTCAGGTCAGAAAAAAAAGATTTCTAATCAATTATTCATTCACAACTTCTTGCCATGAACATTCTCTGTCTGTGTCTCTCTCACTCTATCTCTTCTCCTCCTGTATTTCACGCTATCCAGTTCTCAGGGGGACTAATGAACATATAGTCATGCATTAAAGACTAGGAACCGCTCCTGCTGCTTTATTTATATTCTCGTAATCCTTTTACAAGACACATCAAACGTTTAGGGTATCTTTTCTTCTATTTTGTCTTCTTTTTTCATCTTCATCAAGCATCTGCCGACATTCTCGCTGACTCCGTAGGTGTTCGGAAACTTCTTCTTCTCGACCTCTTACTCTCTTGTTGCCTCAGTTTCAATTATTTTTGCATTCCCGTCTGTTTCTCTCTTGCTCTCAGGTCCTCTTGTCACCACCCAGATGAGCAGCAGCACCACCACCGCAGCAAGACCCGTCACTTCCAGCTCCATCCCCTCAACCATACGACCTCTTCCCCCCACCGCTCACCCGATAGGGGCCATCAACAAGGCGCCAGATCTGCGACCTATCACCGCCACCGTACCAGTGTAGAGATTCTGATCGGACAATCATTAACTCATTTTCATGCGATCACTCAGATCGTGGTCCACAAAGAAGCTTTTAGCACATTCCTACGACACGTGTTTTTATTCAAACTGGACTTTTACTATCATCGCGGACATCGCGAGGCATCGCCACACATCACCAATGAAGTTAATCCGTGTTGCAATCAGAGCTAGCCCTCTCCTCGTTTGATCCTGTGACACTTTCAAGGGGGGAAAATGCTGGAAGCAAACCAGATCCCTTCATCTGGATCGCACTAATACACACTGATTATCAGCATGCCCCCACTTCAAAGTCAACATAACTTTTCCTTTTGTCTTGAGGTGCAAAATTCACAACGTGGTATGTTAATCAAGTGGGTGCGCGCTCCTTGATTTGGACGACGGTCATTGGCCGTCCGAGTTTTGGGTTGAGTCCTGAAACACCCTTGAAAAACTCGCGCCACAGAATGTTTCTCAGCTCTTACATCTTATTGCCTCTTACCTCCTACTTCGACCCCTGGCTTCGCCTCCTCCTTCCGGAATCTCCTTGGACCCTCTCCTCGTCTTCCTGCATCTCCTGAAGCTTTTTTAAGTTATCAGTCTTTCGTACTTTTACTTCACGTTTACTTTTGCGAATAGCCAGTTAACGTTCGTCAGTGCGTTTCCCACAAGAAGGTAAACATCCAGCACGATAGAACTCTCTAGGACGCTTTGAACTCCCGCGCAACACACCCACGTGAGCGAACAAAGAAATCCGTCTCCCGCCTCCTGGACGACCACACGCTTCCATCACACACAGGTCTGAAAATGCAAGTGTTCACTTAATTTTGAGACTCAAGATATAATCCTGTGGTTGTCTCTGAAGGTTTAGCTGTGCTAGTAACTGTAACTTTCTTCGTATTTCCTTTGTTTTCCTTTTTAAGTTTTATTTTCATTTGGTGTATATACATATATCGTGTGATTTGTAGTATAACTTAGTCATGTGCTTTTATTAAACTTCATTTATACATTATTTTCCATTGTTTGTATTAATCACATAACAAAGCCTCTTAGACCGTAGACAGACCGTGCCCTAAAGGATCACTGGGTGAGTAATGGCTCATTTCCACTGAGTGGTACGGTACATAGATAGATGGTACGGTAGATGGAAATGGATAAATACTCTAAATGTTGTCATGAAGTGGATCGCCCTTCAAAATGGCGTCAGTGGACTGGAACTGTGGAAAAGAGTGGAAAAGTGCAGTGTCTAAGTGCTTCTCCTGATTCCCCAGATCAGACCATTATTCTAAACTAAATTGAGGCATTGAGAAAGGCCACATGTGATTGAAACGTTTGCTACTTTTTCATTGAAGCAGTGGTTTTTATTTCGCATTTGTTGTTTCCCTTTCATTGTTAGAGTGTGCAGGAATTTTTAAAGTCTTATTTGAGGTTTTGGTCTATGCACCTCATTGGTCACCTCAAATGACCTCATACATTTACACAGTTCTCCTGCCACCTCCTTCCTACTTGTACATTTCCCTCTCCCATTGCAGAACACAGCAGCAAATCCATTTCTCTATATAGGGAGTCTGTCAGTGTGAAGTCTTACTTACTCTCTCTACAGGGAGCAGGAAACATGTAATTGTGTTCCTCCCTTGATAATGACACTGCAGTAGTCTACTTTAATGCATACATCACTGTCTTAATAACAATCAGGATCAAATCATGCTTAAAAGGTGAATGAATGTCTTTAATGCTGCATCTTAATTCAATAGTTATCAACCTTCGTAACACCAAGGCAGCTTCATTGTTTAAGACATATCAAAAAAGGCTCCTCTTTTATTTCAAGTTGTGCTTCACCTGCAAAGACGACAAATGTGCTTGTTTTCAATGTGCTTCTCGTCCGGTGTGCGACCCCCTCAACGTTAATTTTGTGAAACTGTAGCTGTGGTTGAACACGACATGAAAAGATGTGTCAAATGTACATGATTTTTTATTTTTATAAAGTTACCAAAAAGGAGGACCAGCCACGTCAAATCCTTGCAAGAGACCTGCTCCTTCAAACCCTCTTCGTCCAGTGACTCGTACAGTAACATATGTGATAACTAATTTACTTTTAAACCTGACTTCTCTTGCGGCTATTTCAGTTTAAGGAAAAACAAGCATGTCATTAAACGCAACATTTATAGAAATCGAACTTTACCTTATCCATGAAAACTAATTTTGCGATTCCTGTCTGACTGACTTATCCACGGTGGAGTTGAAAACAACAGTTCCCATCATTCCGCGTTCCTCCACGTCGTCATCAAGCAAAGCCGTTGTTGTTTTGAATGTAGCGCCCTCTAGCGCCATCTAAATCTTCGGTATTGTAGCTTTAATAAGGTGAAATATTTCAGAGTGTATCCGCTCCAAAATTCAGACGGCCTGGTGAGATGAAACCAGAGATGAAACATCTGATGTTCAGTTTCCAGTGTTGCGCAAGTCAGTTAGAGAAAGCCAGAGTAAAAAATAAACCCAGGTTGACCCAACATCGCAAAGGCCTGATTAGCAACAACAAAAGAGTGACCACAGCTTATGAGTCATTTGTGAGGGGATGAATTCTTTGAACAGTGAGATTGCTGCAGTGAAGCACGGGGCTTGCAACTGGGAATTGAAAGGCCAGAGGGGAGGAAAGGTGACTATATTTTGTGACCCTTTTTTGGATGGCTCAGTTCAAATTCAGCTCTGGATTCAAATTGCTCAATTGTGCACTTTCACCAAGAGATGGCGCCCTCAATTATTCAATGGAAAGATGCTTTACCAGTTTCATGTGTAGCTTAGGGCATATTCAGTTCAACACGCTGCTGCCATATACAAGATTCTTGTAGCCTATTCTTGTAACAAGAATATTTTGAAACATTATGAATTCAGTTGATGAGGTCTTATGTCAATTTGTTTGATCACCAGTCACCAGCTTGTTTGTAGACCTAAAATTGTGTTTCAAAAAACTTTGTTTGAAATTGTATGAACAAAAAAAAAAAAGATTATTCAAAATTATCTTCCTTTGTAAAAAATAAAAAATAAAAATCATACTAGCTAAAAACTGCAAACCCGGTAGTAAATGGTCACAATTTTAAATTTAATCTTATCTTATCTATAACCTATCTTTTTTACAGTCTATGATTTAAACCTTACAAACTCTCTCTATCTGAAACGCGTTAGAGAGGACGATGCATATGCAAGAAAACGGAAGCATCCGACCTACGACACGGACCCATGACTTTTATTTTGACATCTCAAGCCAACTCAGCACTTGTAGATCAGTAGTAGATCAATAACCAGTTTTGCTGAAACGCATTGTTTTGTATTTATTTTATGGTTGTATGAGATTTGTGCGGTGAGATGGAGGCGTTGTTGAAGAGAGAGCTGGCCACATCTGTTTTGAAGAGCACTGGTTATTCAGGAAGAGGATACATCAGTGAAGGCCAGAGCTTTGACACCGACACTGGCGAGAGTCTTCGTGAAGATCAACCACATGACGGAGGTGCGCGGCGGCGCGCACACATGCACTTCAGCTCGACGCGGCTTTGGATTTGCATCATTATCTTGCAATGCTACTTTATATGTGTCTTTGTCATCAAATTTGGAATAATAATGTGATTTGCTATAGTAAAGTTTATGTAAATGCTTGTACAGACAACTTAAGTCTAGTTTTAGCTGTTTTAAAGGTGCCATCTGACATAATAAATCAAATCCTACTCCATATTCCATAACAGATGGGGGCAGTATACCTCCAGAAAATGATGTTATTCAAATCATTTGACATGATAGTAAAAGGTTGGAAGACCGCAGTTTCACGTGGAGCATTTGAAGATTTTTAGAGATCAGCGACTCAATGAACAACATCTCAACACTAAATGATGAAGACCATCTCATAGACGCCTGTCTCAAAAACAAGCTGGTGCATTTCGACGATATGGGAAAATAAAAGCATGGGCAATTATTTGAAGTTTATGGTATTCGTTTTGTTCATATTACACTTTTATTGTTAGTTTGAATTAATTTGACAGACAGCATTTGCTGATGTTGATCAAGTTAGCGCCATTCAGAGCTGCCAACTCTTAACGAATTCACCGTGAGACACACGCAATTAACACTTAGCAAGCAGGTTAGTTAAGCTCTCAGATTCTGTCAATTTTATTACGCAATTTAAAGAATAAATACCGTTTTGGCGCTTGTACATGTTACACCAGAGATCCCTAGCGCACGTGAACCGAACGTCTCTACTAGCTAATGGAAAACATGAACTCTGTTGAAACAGTATGCTACAACTTACCAAAATGTATTCCTCATGCATAATGTCGACCAATCATTTTTTGAACTCTTCCCTGAACTGAAATGTAGTAGTGGGCTGTATTTTCACACGACTGACGTCAGGTTCAAGTACACATACAAGCCGGCGTGAGCGCGACTCACTCGAGTACTGCAGTTTGACTGCCAATGGCTGGTGGTAACGTTGCCCATCTGCATACCGCCTCCCATGGCCGGAACTGGTATTACGACACCTGCCGGGCCGGGGCTAGTAATTTAGCATGCTAATTTAGGTTTATATCTCGGCAGCACTAACTTGTCAGTTTTTTAATGACATCATTGCACTTGTTTCTTCTCATTCTTTTGATGCGTGTAGCTCATTTTTTTTTTATATTTTTACCTCAATTATTCCATATGACACCTTTAACTGAAACTAACTTCTGACATATCTAAAAAAAAGTCTCATAATACCAATAAACAAAACTGTTTTTGAGTAAATATATTCAACATTTTCTAATTGTCTTCTTTAGTATTTTAATTGGTAACACTTTATTTTACAGTGTCAATATAAGGTATGTTACATGGACATGCCAGTAAATTGTGCAAACAACTAGCAGCTAGAGCTATTTGAAAGTACACAAATTATTGATTTGTTTAGCATTATAGTATCATGTAATAGTATATGATTGCATTTTAAAGTATCAACACATAATGTAAACTGTCTATCAGTAACTATTTGAAAGTAAATCATCAACTAATCAATGAACTATTTCTAATCTGTCTCTCTTTCTTAAGGCTAGACGAATGTTTGATGGAGAGATGGCAAGCTTGGAAGCGATCCTGTCCACGAACGCAGTGAAAGTGCCCAGGCCTGTGAAGGTCTTGGACCTGGAGAGAAGTGGAGCTCTCCTCGTAATGGAACATGTGGATATGAGGAGCTTAAATAAGTAATCATGTGAACATTTAGGATCATGTAATAGGACTGAGAATTGGGTCAATGTCACATTAACATTGTGGGCATTGTTGGATAGTGCTCCTTTTAAAATATTTAATATTTATGTGCTGTAGATACTCATCAAAACTGGGGGAACAACTAGCTGACCTGCATCTTTACAACAAGAGACAGATAGAGAAACAAAACAAGGAGCAGAAGACTGTTGGTAATGTTTTTTTATTTTATTTTTATTTTGCATTTATGGAGATTTTTTTTTTTAGTGCCATTATTATTTATCATAATTTCTGTATTTAAAAAAGGGAAAGGACCAGGACAGTCTGAGGTTGAAACAGCCAACAGGTTTGGGTTTCACGTGAACACATGCTGTGGTTATATCCCTCAGGTCAGCATCTCCGCTCTGTATGCTGTCTGATCATAATAACAAATGGAGTGATTTATATTCAAAACATACTTTGCAATCTCTCCTTTTGGTTTTCAGGTAAATGACTGGCAGGATGATTGGGTGTCCTTTTACTCCCAGCAGAGGTTGGAGCACCAGCTCGGCTTGGTGGAGCAGTCGTACGGAGACAGAGAGGCCAGGGAATTTTGGTCCAAACTCCTAGCAGCTCCCCCAGCAGCAATCCTCCATCTTCTTATCAAGTGTAATTCATAAGATTTTTTGTATTTTGAATCCAATCTTTTTTTGTTAAAGGCATTAAGTTAATCATAGTGATTTCAAAGTTAAGAATTCATTAGCTTGAATATATTGAAGGAAGCACTGTAATAACATCTGAGTTGATAATTCAATATGCTTTATTTTAGACAGAACATGCATGTTTAAGTCGTGCCGGTTGAACTTTGTCGAATAACATTCCAAAAAAGAAGTCACAACCGAAACTTCACCACATGTTTCGGTAGTGACAATTTTAGATACTTTTATGAAATAACAGCCAAAAAAATTGCTTAATTGCAGAAAAAAAGGTGTTTGGTAGTGACATCCCTTAAAGTTACACACAGATTGTCTGACTTTTGAACTCATTTCCTTCTGAATGATGGTACCTACAATGAAATAGAGGCTATGAGAAAGAGGGACGGGAATATTTCCTGATCAGGGTGTGGTTAAAGTCAGTCTCAGCCAATGGACTAAAACACACACTGTTTCGGTAGTGACATGAAAATCCGGGACACATTTTTTTTTTTTTTACATAAAGTTTCATGATTTAAAAATAAAATATATAATTATTATTATTATTATTAACTTCACTTTTTAAAATAAATCAATACGATATTTTAGATCATGTTTTTTTTTTTTTTTTTTTTTTTTTTTTTGTGGGACAGCAGTTTTCACCAATTATGTAGAATGGCCCAAATATGCTTTTGAAGAGTTACTATTTTAGAAGACTCCTTGCTTTAACATGTGCACATAAAGTAACATGCAATTGAAAAGAAAACAGGGGAGCATCCGACCTAGGACACGGACCCGTGACTTTTATTTTGACATCTCAACAGTGAGTAATCCTGCTCAAGCCAATGAGCGCATGTAATGATCCAGAGATATTTACTCAGCACTTGTAAGTAGATCAAAAGCAAAACCCGTCTCATATATTAGACATTTTCTGTCAATAACCAGTTTTGCTGAAACGCATTGTTTTGTATTTATTTTATGGTTGTATGAGCTTTGTGCCGTGAGATGGAGGCGTTGTTGAAGAGAGAGCTGGCCACATCTGTTTTGAAGAGCACTGGTCATTCAGGAGGAGGATGCATCAGTGAAGGCCAGAGCTTTGACACCGACACTGGCAGAGTCTTCGTCAAGATCAACCACAAGACCGAGGTGCGCGCGCACACATGCACTTCAGCTCGACGTACGCGGCTTTGGATTTGCATCATTATCTTGCAATGCTACTTTATATGTGTCATCAAATTTGGAATAATAATGTGATTTGCTATAGTAAAGTTTACGTTAATGCTTGTACAGACAACTTAAGTCTAGTTTTAACTGTTTTAACTGAAAGTAACTTCTGGCATATCTAAAAAAAAAAAAAAGTCTCATGATACCAAAATAAATATGAAAATGTTGGATAAACAAAATTGTTTTGAGTAAATACATTTAAAAATTTTCTAATTGTCTTTAGTATTTTAATAGGCAACACTTTAAAAGTGTCCATATACATAGCCTATGCATAACCCTCCATACATACCCTCCTCAACCAAACCCTAGTCAATGGTATTTTCAGGATTTACTAATACACTTTTAAGAACAAAGTTATCTATCTGTCAACATTAGTTATTTGACTGTGAACTAACATGAACAATGAAAATATATAAGCTAACATTAAACAAAGGTTAATAAATGCTGTTATAATGTATTGTTCATAGTTCGTATGAAAACGTATTGTAAAGTTTTAGCTTTATAACTATTTGGAAGTACACAAATTATTGATTTATTCAGCATTATACTATCAGTAACTATTTGAAAGTAAATCATCAACTAATCAATGAACTATTTCTAATCTGTCTCTCTTTCTTTAGGCTAGACGAATGTTTGATGGAGAGATGGCAAGCTTGGAAGCGATCCTGTCCACGAACGCAGTGAAAGTGCCCAGGCCTGTGAAGGTCTTGGACCTGGAGAGAAGTGGAGCTCTCCTCGTAATGGAACATGTGGATATGAGGAGCTTAAATAAGTAATCATGTGAACATTTAGGATCATGTAATAGGACTGAGAATTGGGTCAATGTCACATTAACATTGTGGGCATTGTTGGATAGTGCTCCTTTTAAAATATTTAATGTTTATGTGCTGTAGATACTCATCAAAACTGGGGGAACAACTAGCTGACCTGCATCTTTACAACAAGAGACAGATAGAGAAACAAAACAAGGAGCAGCAGACTGTTGGTAATGTTTTATTTTTTATTTTGCATTTATGGAGATTTTTTTTTAGTGCGGTTATTATTTATCATAATTTCTGTATTTAATAAAGGGAAAGGACCAGGACAGTCTGAGGTTGAAACAGCCAACAGGTTTGGGTTTCACGTGAACACATGCTGTGGTTATATCCCTCAGGTCAGCATCTCCACTCTGTATGCTGTCTGATCATAATAACAAATGGAGTGATTTATATTGAAACAAAGTTTGTAATCTCTCCTTTCGGTTTTCAGGTAAATGACTGGCAGGATGATTGGGTGTCCTTTTACTCCCAGCAGAGGTTGGAGCACCAGCTCGGCTTGGTGGAGCAGTCGTATGGAGACAGGGAGGCCAGGGAATTGTGGTCCAAACTCCAAGTAAACCAAACAGCTCAGATTTTTATTCCAGCAAAATATCAAAAAGATATTGGGTCTCATATACTAATTAATTGTGTACACTATTCGTAAACACACATTTGAACTTCTTCTCACAAAAATAGGCCTATATGATATCTATCTTTATCTCTATATCTATTTCTATGTTGAAGATTTAATCTTAACATGTTTATAATGCCACCAAGACTATGTCATTTTTTGTACAAGTGGTTTCAGTAGTTTAATGGTTTCAGTATTTTAGAATTTAAGTTGATGTATCATGATTTGATCATTAAAATGTTCCTACACAGATTTCACGCATAAAATTGTGCGCACACACGTTTAGTGAATGAGACCCATTGTCTCCAGTTTTTTTAATAAACATGGGTAAAACTATTTTTAATTTAAACATTAAAATAGTGTATACATTAATGTTATATAATAGACTAAACATTATAATAATGATATAAAAATCTAAATATGAACTACTTTGGTCCTATGCTAACTCATTAGTGCATGTTATTACAAAAAACAAGCAAAAAAAAAAAAAAAATATATATATATATATCTTTGTCTTCATAATCTTTCCTTGAGATGTTATAACTTTCTGTGCCCCTTAAATTACTTTCAACCCTTCCACTCCTATAATCTGACTTCATTCTGGTATAAAATGACCACTTTTCAAATAAAATAAATTACTGATTGAATCCCAAATCATCATTATCATTTTAAATTGTATATTGTCCTTTTTATTTTTGATATATGATGTAATTTAATGGTACAGTAGTAAAATGAAGTGTAGAAGTACACAACTTCATTTAGTAATTTGATATGTATCTATAATGTTTATCCAACCTTTGCTCAAATATATTTAAAAACAGAACTTTATTTAAATTATGCATAATTACTATCAAACCCTAACTGTAACTCTATTGTTAGTACATGTACAGTAGTTAATTAACATTCCCCAGTACTAATTTGAGCAAGTATCATGTAACTACGGCACCTTAAAATAAAATGTAAACTAAAATGATTATAAAGCATCTTTTATTTATAAATATATTTGTTTCAAATTTTTTTATTGAGACCAAAGACCTCAAAAGTGTAAATGGATAGTTCAGCCACAAATGACAATTGTTTCACCATTTACTCCCCCTCATGCTGATCCAAACATGTTGGACTGTCTTTCTTCTGTGGAACATAAAAGAAAACATTTGAAAGAACAGTAACCATAGAGTTTCGGTTTCCATTGACTTTAATTGTATGGACAAAAACACAATGGAAGTCAATGGAAGCCAAAACTGTTTGGTTCCCAACATTCTTCTAATTGTCTTCTTTGTTGTTTTATAGTAGAAAGAATTGCACACATGTTAGTATCAGCATGAGGGTGCACAAATAATGACAGGATTTTCATTTGTGGGTGAACTCTCCCTATAATTTATTTAAGTAAATCAGTAAATCTCCATACAGTGCTGCATATGTACTTTTCTTTGTTTAGCTGAAGATCCCTCAGCTGTTCACAGATGTTGAGGTGGTTCCAGCGCTGCTGCATGGAGACCTCTGGGGAGGAAATGTGGCCGAATGCTCTGATGGTCCCGTCATCTTTGACCCAGCATCGTTTTATGGCCATTCGGAGTACGAGCTGGCTATTGCCGGCATATTTTCTGGTTTTGGGAGCTCGTTTTACAATGCTTACCATGAGAAGATCCCCAAGACCGCTGGGTTTGCAAAGAGACAGCAACTATACCAGCTGTTCCACTATCTGAACCACTGGAATCATTTTGGTGGGGGTTACAGGGGCTCTTCTCTACGGATCATGAAGGATCTAACGAAGTAGAAGCTTAAGAATCCTTCTCAAGTCTTCATTTATGAAGGTGGATGATAAACTAATTCGAAGTTAGTCATACACATTGAATCGAACATTACCTGTCTGATGGAAATGCATTGACAAGATGAAAAACAGATTGAAAAATATTATATAAATATAAAATTATTTTTATTTTTTTATTTACATGAGTTTTCCATCCAATGGTCAAAAATAAATTGTTTAAAATGCATTATTCCCTTTTTGCAAATTGCACTTTAACTTGACTTGTATGCAATTTCTATGTATGCAAATTGTATAATATCCAAAGTACACATTTCTAGTAATTGTGTACAAAATTCTCATATTGTTTTTTTTTTTTTTTTTTTTTTTTTTTTTTTAAGTTTTGGAATATTTTTCCTCTTCCCAAATTTGTCACTACCGGAACACAATAATAAAATATAGCTGCGAGCAGCGATGGCGGGCCCAAGCCGGAGGCACCGCAACCCCGGTTCCTTTAGTTACCTAAAGGCACCCGGGTGGCGGTGGCGAAGGCTTTGGCCCTTTCATGATTAAATGTTAAAACGGCTTGCCATACTCTGTCATTTCGAGTAGTCACAATTATGTTACAGATATCTTAAATGATAATACAAACTATCCAAAGTGTAACGACTAGACAGAAAGACGTTGTTGATATCTACGATGTTAATTCCGGATAGGCAAACTTAGCTTTTAAATGTTAAAAGGGCTTGCCATACAGGGACGTAGGCTCAGAGAGAGGCTCACCATATTCAGACCAAAATATCTGACTTCCTCTTGGTCCGAGCTAATGACTATGTATTAGAAAGTTGTACGGCTTGAGGAGCACAATACCGATTTTTGTAACTGTAGATAAAACTAACAACCCCACTTTTAAGTATATATATGGTGCCTTTAGTGTTATTCTGCACGACGTGCAAAAACTTAACCCCCGCTTTTTTAAGTATATATATATATATATATATATATAAAGAGGGTTATTCTGCACGACGTGCAAAAACTTAACCTCCGCATTGACTGTCGAAGAGAAGTGTGCAGAAGAGCTTGCATCAGTGAGGGCTTTGCAAAATATATATACATACAAACACACACACACACACAAATAAATGAGGTTAGTGTTTTACAATATTAAGGAAAGCAAATGTATTGAAATATAGCACATTAATTTTAAATTCATTCAGCTTCAATTACCAATTTGTAGTTTACCAATTTATCTTACGTTTATTTAAAGCAAACTATACATTTAAAAGATTAGGGTTATATGCATATTTTGTCATTTAAAAAAATACAAAATTGTTATGCAAAAAGATAAGGACTTGCAGAAAAAATCTACAGTCAGCAACACACACACACACACATAAACGCAGACACCAGCAACCCCCCCCCCCCTCCCTCTTCCCCACACAGACACTGATAGAGACAAGATACACATCCAAACTGCAATATCTGACTTTCTTTTGGTCTGAGCTTCTTACTGTTAATTAGAAAGTTGATCGGCTTGACAAGAACAATATACGTGGCATGTTTTGTAACTGTAGGTAAAACGAGCAAAGTTAACACATTTTATGTGTCCTTTTTTAGTCATAAAATTATTTTCCTCGCCACGGCCAAACCGTTCGAGATATCAAAAATCCGTCCGGAATTGAGCATCCTCAATGTCTTGACTTCATGCACACCGAGTATGGTGGTGATTGGTAAACACATGCGTTGTAATTTGATGTATTTCTCCTAGGAGATTTATTCAAACAACACATAATTCCCAACTTCCATTTGAACTGTCTTAAAACTTAGAGCAGAGATGGGCGCAGGTCACGCAAGTCTCAAGTAAGTCTCAAGTCTTAACCGTCAAGTCTCAAGTAAGTCCCAAGTAATTTTTTTGGGGGGGGGGGGGGGGGCAAGTCAAGTCAAGTCACAGGCATGTCAAGTCAAGTCAAGTCTTGTAGTAGGTTAAGTCAAGTGCAAGTCAAGTCACCTTATTATTTTAATTTTACATGCAGAATCTGATCTTAATAAAATGAAAAGACAAGATAAGTATTTGCCAGTAAATTACAATAATTTGCATTGTAAATACTCATGTTCAGTAAAATACACCATGGAATCAAACAAAATTGTAACTTCATAAAATTATTTATTTTTCACTTCTGCCAACAGTGTGTTTGAAATGTTTTAAATTTTCAACATTGAGTCCATAAAACAAATAACAGCTTAACATCCTACAGACTCTCTGAACACCTTCCTCTCTCTCAAACACAGTTTACAAACAATATTAAACTTTGTTACATTTCTCTCTCTCTCTCTCTCTCTCTCTCTCTCTCTCTCTCTCTCTCTCTCTCTCTCTCTCTCTCTCTCTCTCTCTCTCTCTCACACACACAGTGGCGGTTCTAGACCATTTCAACTGGGGGGCCAAGCTGGGGCCAGTTGTACTGTTAGAGGGGCCAGTTACATTTAGACCTTATCATTTTCTGCACTGCACTGAAGGCATAAATAAGCAAAATACCATGTTTATAATTATCCAACAATTTGCATTTCCATTATATTTTTACATTTGCATTACATATATCAGTCTGTATTTGAATTTCCATTTTATTTTTTTACATTGAATATACAGTATGTATATATATATATATATATATATATATATATATATATATATATATATATATATATATAATTTTTACAAATTAATCTACGATTTTTGTGGGTTTTTTTTTTTTTTTTTGCAAAAAGATCAGCAAATTATCCTCTAAACTGGCCTTTTTAGGGGGCTTTCCTCTCAGGGTGAATGAGCTTTTTTATAATTGTTTTTTTCCTGACATCTTTGAAAGACAGAAGCAATAATTAATGCATCCTTGGCCAGGATATAATTATAAAATATGACATGATTTTAAAAGTGACCTATAAAATCGACTATGCAATACACTTTAATTTATCTAGTGCTAATAAAATTATTAAGCCTATTTGGAGAGAGAGATGTTTTAAAATCGACTATGCATTACACTTTAATTTATCTAGTGCTAATAAAATTATTAAGCCTATTTGGAGAGAGAGATGTTTATAATGTGACAATATGTCAGTCATCGTGATTCGTGTAATAAGATGACTAGGCCTAGACTACTTGTTCTGAGCAGGTGTTGTCAGTGAACAGGCTGTAAAACTGTTGTCTAAGTTACAGACTGATACTAATTAAATGGGAAACGAATCGATTACCTAACGTAACCTCGGTTCTCTCTAGATGAGGGAACGAGCATTGCGTAAGCTAGCTTACGCTACGGGAAAGATTCATCTTACATCAGTCAAGTTGTCATAGTTTTTGTCAAACAAGTTGTGAATTTGTTGTAACATTAAAACAGGAGATCATGACTTACTCCGTGCTCCAAGTGATGTTCGGAGCTCCAGTGATTAGTTTCATCTGTGGGACGGGTGAAGAAACTTTCGGAAGATGTTGTAACAGAATCATATGAACAATTCCAGGATATGCTTTTTTTCATTGGTTGTTGCGTTAAATTTTACCCAGATACAATAGTGCCCTTTTCTGATTGGCTATTAAGTAGCACTTCTCTTTTTTTGATTGGCTGATGCGTAGCAGGGTCGACTGCTGAACTCCAGGCGAGACGCGCTTGATTCTCACGTGAGAGCGGCGCGGCCAGAGAAATTGCGTATATTAAATATATTATTAATAGTTTTTCCGCATGAGAAATACAATGTGTGACGGGAGTGTGAGACAAAAGACTGAAACGAGTGACTGTCATGCTCAATGCGTGACACACTATAAAAAAATATTTCACACTGACTCCACATTTAGGGGGGCCACAAGGGGGTCCAAGCTTGTTGTCGCAGGGGCACTGGCCCCCCCAGGCCCCCGCCTAGAACCGCCATTGCTCACACACACACACACACACACATTCTCTCTCTCTCAAGAAGCAAAAACATGACTGCTAAAGGTTGTATCAGTGATGGCGGGGTAACATCACTTAACATCACGAGTGCTATTCCCTTAGGCCACGCCCCCTTGTCTCCCCAAAGTATTATAAGCAATCATGCGCATCCCGTGTGCAGAATGATGCACTTGAAGCAACACCAAGTCACAGCACGCAACGCTTCACATTGAAAAGAACATAGCGAAGGGATGGTATCTATAATCTATGCTTAGTAGGGCTGCACGATTTGGGAAAATGTCATATTGCCATTATTGAGCCAATATTGCAATTGCGATTTGCGACTCCGATATAATAAAATGGTTTCATGAGTCCAACTTGCTTGGTTCTAAAGTAAAATGCACACACAGATTAATGTTTATTTCTCAACTCAAACTAAAAACAACAACAACAATAAATGATTGATAACACCTATAATGATCAATAAACCATCAACCAAACCAACATTACAGTGATTCCATCAATTGAAAGCCATCAACTTTTAAAAAATTATTAGGCTTAAAAAAAATATATAACAGCTTTTAAATTAAGTGAACTTCAAACAATCCCCACATAAACCCATAATAAAAAACATATTTACCTGTGCCCTTCCTGTCTTAACAGGTACAGAAATTGAATAAAGTTATCAAACAGTCTGCGCTGCCTGAATCATAAATTATATATATAATAATCCTTATTAAAGCTACAAAAGTTCTTTACTCAAGATCAGTGAGTAATTTTCTAATTTCCCTTTGTTCTTTTAACTTTACTGAAAGAACGCTTTATTCGCTGCTGGCCCTTTAAGAGCACCCGTTGCCGAGACGCGGATCTCACACGCGCCTCATAGCACAACTCTTTTCATCCATAGACTTTTCTTATGTTATGAAGATACTAGACAAAACCACATTTTGGCATAATTGTGTGTGCTATTGTTCGTTCAAGCTCGAAAGAGAACTGTTTATTCTGGGCTGGCACACGGTCAGTGCATGCGCATTATGCGAGTCTCATCTATTCTAATCTAGGGCACTCACAGGCAGCTTTTCACTTCTTGTCGTGCAAAATGCGAAAAGGCATTTGAACCAATAAGAGGGGGATCTTGTAACACTAGTCAAAGGATGACAAAAAAGAAGAGATGCTGCGCTAATAGCCCTACTTTGTTTATTTCATATAAAATCGCGGCATTTTGC